AATTAGTTTGTTTGGACTAAGCTGGTCTAAACAATCTACTTAAAGGGAAAGGAAACCTGGAAATCAGCTTTAAAAGCACATTACCGTATTTTTCGCTCCATAAGACGCACCTGACCATAAGACGCACCTAGGTTTTAGAGGCAGAAAACAGGAAAAAAAAAATTCTGAACTAATGGACTGCAGACATAGTAGAGGAGATGACCAGAGACTGCGGACAGCACAGGGATGACCAGAGACTGCGGACAGCACAGGGATGACCAGAGACTGCGGACAGCACAGGGATGACCAGAGACTGCGGACAGCACAGGGATGACCAGAGACTGCGGACAGCACAGGGATGACCAGAGATTGTGGACAGTACAGGGATGACCAGAGACTGCGGACAGTACAGGGATGACTGCTGACCTTTGGGGAGGGAGGGGGAGCGGGTACCTGAATTTGACAGGTACCCGCTCTTCCGCAGAGTTTTTTTTTTTTTTTATCTTACCTGTTCCTCTATCCAGTCGCGCACTGTCTTCCCGGCTTCTGTAGTGTGGGCGCTCGTCGGACAGTCGGATGCCCAGTGCGCATGCGCGAGAAGCGCTGCGCTTTGTGATTGGTCCGGCGGCTTCTGGGATCTGTCATGTGTCCCAGGTACCGCCTTACCATTCACAAAGAGCACTGCTTCTTCCGCATTGGCACTTGGGACCCGGCTGTCACGCACACTACAGAAGCCGGGAAGACAGCGCGCCGCTTGATAGAGGGACAGGTAAGGTCCCACTGCAGAGCTGAGCGGCCGGCCCGGTATTCTGACACGGCCGCGGTGGAAATACCGGGCCGGCCGATCTATATTTGCTCCATAAGACGCACTGACATTTCCCCCCCTTTTTTGGGGGAAAAAAAGTGCGTCTTATGGAGCGAAAAATACGGTAAATTTTTAAGTACTTTCGAACGACATTCAAAAGTTGTTGAATGTACTAAGAATTTTTCTACAAATGTTTGTTATAAAATCTGCTAGTGTTTTAGGCCCCTTACACACGGACATCCTGTATGTCCATTTTTCATCTCTTTACAGATTAAAAACGGACACCCATGTATTTCTATGGACTAGCAGATATAAACAGTTGATCATGTGTCCGCATCCATTAACATCCATTTTTTTGAATGGAAGAAAACCCTATTTTTCTTCCGGTAAAAAAAAAAAAAAAAACAGAACAGACTAAACCGGACGAAAAACTGATCTGAACTGATCAAAAACAGACGTAAACTGATCCGTTATTTTCTTGGAAAAAGATGTTACTGAACTAATGAAAAAAAAACAGAAAGTCCATGTGAAAGGGCCATAGCAGCTGATTGACCTGCAGTTCCCATAACATTGCACATGTGGTCAATATGACACCAGTCATTTGATAGCTTGACAGTTTGACTGCAAGTACAAGTGACAGTTATTTAAACATGTCTTGAATGTAACAGTTTTGAGAAACAGTTAAACCAATAGGTTTAGATCCACAACAATAAAAAAAAAAAAAAAGTCAGGTAGCAGTATGGCCTTCTGAACAGCTGCACCATTACCTCTGAAAAGCAGTCTGCCACCCAAGGGCTTGAGGACTTGTTCACACTTGCCAAAAAGAAACCTGCGTTCAGATCACTCTTTGGAGAGCATTTGTTAGGTGGAGAGGAGGCATTGTATAACCTCATCTGCTTTAACTCCTTGAATGCCATGATCAAGTGATATCAGCATCTCTTCCCTCTAGTAGGGAAAGTATTATTTTCCCCCAGGACTCTCAATCACCCTGTAATACACCTTGACTCTGTGACGGTCAGGATCTCTTCCCCCTAGTAGGAAAGGTATTATGTTCCACCCAGGGCTCTCCATCACCCTTTAGAACTACTTAATTCTGTGATCAGTCATGTCAGGGCCTCTCCCCACTCCATTATGTTCCACACATGATCCTGTGATCAAGCGATGTCAGGATCTCTTCGCTCTAGTAAGGAAGGTATTATTTCCCTCCAGGACTCTCCATCGCCCTATAATACACCATGATCCTGTGACCAGTGATCTCAGGACCCCTCTCCCTAGTAAGGAAGGTATTATGTTCCACCAGGACTCTCCATCACCCAGTAATACACCATGATCATGTGACCAGTGATGTAAGGACCCCTCTCCCTAGTAGGGAAGGTATTATGTTCCCCCAGGGCTCTCCATCAACCTTTAGCAGGACATAATTCTGTGATCAGTGATATCAGGACCTGTAGTAAGGAAGGTATTCTATTACAAACAAGGTCCTGCCATCACCCTGTAATACACCATAATCCTGTGACCAGTGATGTCAGGACCCCTATCCCTAGTAGGGAAGGTATTATGTTCCACCCAGGGCTCTCCATCGCCCTATAATATACCATGATCCTGTGACCAGTGACGTCTGGACCTCTCCCCTCTAGTAGGAAAGGTATTCTATTACACGCATGTTCCAGTAATGACAGGAGTTCTCCCTCTAACAGGGAAGGTATTATGTTCCACCATGGGCTCTCCATCACCCTATAATACACCATGATCCTGTGACCAGTGATGTCTGGACCTCTCCCCTCTAGTAGGGAAGATATTATGTTCCCCCAGGACTCTCCATCACCCTATAATATACCATTATCCTGTGACCAGTGATATCTGGGCCTCTCCCCTCTAGTAGGGAAGGTATTATGTTCCACCCAGGACTCTCCATCACCCTATAATACACCATGACCCTATGACCAGTGATGTCTGGACCTCTCCCCTCTAGTAGGGAAGGTATTATGTTCCACCCAGGACTCTCCATCACCCTATAATACACCATGATCCTGTGACCAGTGATGTCAGGACCCCTCTCCCCTCTAGTAGGGAAAGTATTATGTTCCACCCAGGGCTCTCCATCACCCTATAATATACCATGATCATGTGACCAGTGATGTCTGGACCTCTCCCCTCTAGTAGGGAAGGTATTATGTTCCCCCAGGGCTCTCCATCACCCTATAATACACCATGATCATGTGACCAGTGATGACTGGACCTCTCCCGTCTAGTAGGGAAGGTATTATGTTCCCCCAGGACTCTCCATCACCCTATAATACACCATGACCCTGTGACCAGTGATGTCTGGGCCTCTCCCCTCTAGTAGGGAAGGTATTATGTTCCACCCAGGGCTCTCCATCACTCTATAATACACCATGACCCTGTGACCAGTGATGTCTGGGCCTCTCCCTTCTAGTAGGGAAGGTATTATATTCCCCCAGGGCTCTCCATCACCCTATAATACACCATGATCCTGTGACCAGTGATGTCTGGACCTCTCCCCTCTAGTAGGGAAGGTATTATGTTCCCCCAGGACTCTCCATCACCCTATAATACACCATGATCCTGTGACCAGTGATGTCAGGACCCCTCTCCCCTCTAGTAGGGAAGGTATTATGTTCCCCCAGGACTCTCCATCTCCTGACCAGTGATGTCTGGACCTTTTCCCCTCTAGTAGGGAATAATTATGTTCCACCCCCAGGACTCTCCATCACCCTGTGACCAGTGATGTCAGGACCCCTCTCCCCTCTAGTAGGGAAGGTATTATGTTCCCCCAGGACTCTCCATCACCCTATAATACACCATGATCATGTGACCAGTGATGTCTGGACCTCTCCTAGTAGGGAAGGTATTATGTTCCCCCAGGGCTCTCCATCACCCTATAATACACCATGATCATGTGACCATGTCTGGACCTCTCCCCTCTAGTAGGGAAGGTATTATGTTCCCCCAGGACTCTCCATCACCCTATAATACACCATGACCCTGTGACCAGTGATGTCTGGACCTCTCCCCTCTAGTAGGGAAGGTATTATGTTCCACCCAGGACTCTCCATCACCCTATAATACACCATGATCCTGTGACCAGTGATGTCAGGACCCCTCTCCCCTCTAGTAGGGAAGGTATTATGTTCCCCCAGGGCTCTCCATCACCCTATAATACACCATGATCCTGTGACCAGTGATGTCAGGACCCCTCTCACCTCATGTTCCCCCAGGGCTCCCATCACCCTATAATACACCATGATCCTGTGACCAGTGATGTCTGGACCTCTCCCCTCTAGTAGGAAGGTATTATGTTCCCCCAGGACTCTCCATCGCCCTATAATACACCTCTCCATCTGGACCTCTCCTCTCTAGTAGGGAAGGTATTATGTTCCCCCAGGAATAATACACCATGATCCTGTGACCAGTGATGTCTGGACCTCTCCCTCTAGTAGGGAAGGTATTATGTTCCCCCAGGACTCTCCATCGCCCTATAATACACCATGACCCTGTGACCAGTGATGTCTGGACCTCTCCCTCTCTAGTAGGGAAGGTATTATGTTCCCCCAGGACTCTCCATCGCCCTAGTATGGGAAGGTATTATGTTCCCCCAGGGCTCTCCATCGCCCTATAATACACCATGATCCTGTGACCAGTGATGTCTAGTAGGGAAGGGATGTTCCCCCCTCTCCCCTCTGAGTAGGGAAGGTATTATGTTCCCCCAGGACTCTCCATCGCCCTATAATACACCATGACCCTGTGATCAGTGATGTCTGGACCTCTCCCCTCTAGTAGGGAAGGTATTATGTTCCCCCAGGACTCTCCATCGCCCTATAATATACCATGATCCTGTGACCAGTGATGTCTGGGCCTCTCCCCTCTAGTAGGGAAGGTATTATGTTCCCCCAGGACTCTCCATCACCCTATAATACACCATGATCATGTGACCAGTGATGTCTGGACCTCTCCTCTCTAGTAGGGAAGGTATTATGTTCCCCCAGGACTCTCCATCGCCCTATAATACACCATGATCCTGTGACCAGTGATGTCTGGACCTCTCCCCTCTAGTAGGGAAGGTATTCTATTACACGCATGTCCCAGTAATGACATGAGCTCTCCCTCTAACAGGGAAGGTATTATGTTCCACACATGCTTCCCCAGGTGGCGGAGGGATCCCCCCAATCTCAGTGCCGTACAGATGGAAGGATACGTTTCCGGGGGGACGGGGCTCTCCAGCTTCCCGGTCGGGCTCCTCCTGGCTTGCTACCTCGCTCCCCCCAGTCTCGGTCCCAGAACCTTCCGCCTCTCCCCCGTGAACGGAAGCGGCCCAGCGTGTCATGGCTGCGCTCCCAGAATGAGGGCCTGGAAGGCGGCGGCTGTGGAAGTCGGGGGGGCGGCCGGTAGCCGTGCGAGGGTCTCTGAGGACGGGGCCTGTAGTGTAGCGGTGGCCCTCGGCTGCTGGGCCGGTGCCGGACATAATGAGGGCTTTCGGGTCTCACGCTGTCATCGCTCAGCTCGCCGTCCTCCAGCTCGCCTTCCTCCCGGGGAGAAGCAGGCCGGGCGGCCGACATGGTTGTGGGTAGTCAGGTCCGCGGTGTACACCCGGAATCCAGTGTAATATTCCACTTCTCCTTCCACTACGGGAACCTGAGATAGCCAGGCCCCACCAGATCGATATTCTCGCGAGAGCTCCGCCGACGACTGACGTCACCGCGTGCGGAGATACAGCTGAGGAATGTACAGAAGTCACATGACACGGGGTCAGCCCTATGAGACGTGTGAAGATGGTGTAATCGGGAAATGAAATGATGTCAGCGTGGGAGAGAATCTTGTAATAGTGCTGGACTATTTCCGGCAAGGGTGGGCCCTGAAAACACTAAAGAAACACAGAAAATTCGGTCAATGTAGTACTGCAAAATTACTGATAGGTTGGAGATAGTCAGAGACTGAAGCTTTGTTACACGAGACGGTCAGAGACTGAAGCCTTGTTACGCGAGACGGTCATAGACTGAAGCCTTGTTACGCGAGACGGTCAGAGACTGAAGCCTTGTTACGCGAGACGGTCAGAGACTGAAGCCTTGTTACGCGAGACGGTCAGAGAGACTGGAGACTTGTTACGCGAGACGGCCAGAGACTGAAGCCTTGTTACGCGAGACGGTCAGAGACTGAAGCCTTGTTACACGAGACGGTCAGAGACTGAAGCCTTGTTACACGAGACAGTCAGAGACTGGAGACTTGTTACACGAGACGGTCAGAGACTGGAGACTTGTGACACGAGACGGTCAGAGACTGGAGACTTGTGACATGAGACGGTCAGAGACTGAAGACTTGTGACACGAGACAGTCAAGAGACTGAAGACTTGTGACACGAGATAGAGACTGACAACTTGTTACATGAGACGGTCAGAGACTGAAGACTTGTGACACGAGACAGTCAGAGACTGAAGACTTGTGACACAGAGAGACAGTCAGAGACTGAAGACTTGTGACACAAGACAGAGACTGAAGACTTGTGACACAAGACAGAGACTGAAGACTTGTTACACGAGACGGTCAGAGACTGAAGACTTGTTACACGAGACGGTCAGAGACTGAAGACTTGTTACACGAGACGGTCAGAGACTGAAGACTTGTTACACGAGACGGTCAGAGACTGAAGACTTGTGACACGAGACGGTCCGAGACTGAAGACTTGTGACACGAGACGGTCCGAGACTGAAGACTTGTGGCACGAGACGGTCCGAGACTGAAGACTTGTGGCACGAGACAGTCAAGAGACTGAAGACTTGTGGCACGAGATAGAGATTGAAGACTTGTGACACAAGGCAGTCAGACTGAAGACTTGTGGCACGAGATAGAGATTGAAGACTTGTGACACAAGGCAGTCAGACTGAAGACTTGTGGCACAAGATAGAGATTGAAGACTTGTGACACAAGACAGTCAGAGACTGAAGACTGGTTACACAAGAGAGAGACTGAAGACTTGTTACTCAAGACGGTCAGAGACTGAAGACTTGAGACACAAGACGTTCAGAGACTGAAGACTTGTTACACGAGACAGAGACTGAAGATTTGTGACGAGAGACTGAAGACTAATGACACGAGACAGTCAGAGACGGAAGACTGGTGACATGAGACAGTCAGAGACGGAAGACTAGTGACTTGAAAGAATGAAAACTTGTTACATGAGACAGTCAGAGAATGAAAACTTGCAAAAGGAGACAGAGACTGAAGACTTGTGACACGAGATAGAGAATGAAAACTTGTGACAGGAGACAGTCAGAGACTGAAGACTTGTGACACGAGATAGAGACTGAAGCCTTGTTATATGAGACGGTTAGAGAATGAAGATGGTCAGAGACTGAAGACTTGAGACACAAGACGGTCAGTGACTGAAGACTTGTTACACGATATAGAGATATAGAGACTGAGGACTAGTGACACGAGACAGAGACTGAAGAATTGTGACAGAAGACAGTCAGAGACTGAAGACTTGTGACAGGAGACAGTCAGAGACTGAAGACTTGTGACACGAGATGGAAAATGAAAACTTGTGACAGGAGACAGTCAGAGACTGAAGACTTGTGACACGAAATAGAGAGAACGAAACGAAAACTTGTGACAGGTTACAGTCAGAGACTGAAGACTTGTGACACGAGATGGAAAATGAAAACTTGTGACAGGAGACAGTCAGAGACTGAAGACTTGTGACACGAGATAGAAAATGAAAACCTGTGAAATGAGACAGTCAGAGAATGAAAACTTGTGACACGAGACAGTCAGAGAATGAAAACTCGTGACACGAGACAGTCAGAGAATGAAGACTTGTTACAGAAGACAGTCAGAGACTGAAGACTTGTGACAGGAGATAGAGACTGAAGTATTGTGACAGGAGACAGTCAAAAAATGAAGACTTGTGACAGGAGACAGAAACCTCACACTGCACAGGAGATGACCAGAGGCCAGATGTGAGGGGAAACGGCCAGAGGCCACAGACTACAACAGACAAAATATACTGATGCTGAGTTGTAAGTAGTTAGAGAGGCTCCAGGCTGTTGCAAAGAGGGGTATGGCCATGATGACATCAGTCCTGCTCTCTGCATCATTTTCTTGTGTATGGATGGTACTAAGGTGACACCCTGCACTTACTGAATCTCTTCAGTCTTTAGGGATTAAGCGAAGCTGGACATAATTAACCATAGAAGACTGAGAACATCGTGTGACAAAAATATACGGCTGGGGGGGGGGGGGGCAGCTCTGAAGTAGGGTGAGAATTGCAGCTTGAGCGGTTTTCTGTTTGTTTTTTTTTTAATTCCTGGTATTACATCTATTAAAATAACATTCCTGAACTTGGCGTTGGCCAACAGTAATGGTTTAAAGCTCAACTATAGACACTACAATGTACTGTATGTACAGGTATAATATTGAGTACATTTCACACTTTCTATGTTTAAAGTGCAACTGCAGCCAAAACATTTTCTTTTTTTACTTTTGGGTAGAGTGGAGAGGGATTGGAACCCTTATCAGGTTTTATTGCTGTCTGTGTTCCTTCTAGGCAGATTCACCCTCTCTATTTGTCTTGTTTACTGTTATCACCGAAAATGAAAGCAAAAGAAAATCCCAAATTTTGGGTTGTCAACAGAACAGGACTAGAGGGAAAATCATCCAATGGAGACACTAGTTCTGGTGACAGGGGGCTCCTCACTTTCCTGTTGTGGGACAGGAAGTGAATGGAAATCTCCCCATGGGACGTAGATGAAAAAAAACTGAAAGGGTTTTACTCCCCTTACACTATTTAACTGCTTGCCGAACACCCACCCACCCACAATGTACTGCGGATGGGTGGCAGCTACAGGCAAAGCGACGTACATGTATGTCGCTCTGGCTGTAGTAACACAGAGAGGCGCATCGGAGCGGGTGCACAGTGCTCCCCACCAGCGGTGGACACAGCAGAATGAAGGTCCCGGTGAACGGGACCTGGTGATCATGTGATTGCTATGTGATCACAGTGTTAGCAAAGCTGTTATGAATCAATGTGATTCATGACTGCTCTGCATCTCTTCCTGGTGACCTGCGATTGGCCCACAGCTCTTATATGATACATGGGGCCAATCACAGCATCCTGTACCAAGTGAGCACCTCCAGCCAATCACAGATCACTAATATTTTGAACTGTCATGAACTTAATTAATTCATAACAGTTCAATGCAAGCTTTGCATTGCAGGAGCAATAATCTTTATTGCTCCTGCAAAGCAAAGTGTAAAAAAAAACAATCCCCGATCATCCCCCCCAGAGTAGTGCAATGTTACTATGGTAACATTTCACTACTCTGGTAAAAGTATTTTTAAAAATGGAAAAATACATGTAAAAATAGTGTATTGAGAATTTTTTTTTTTAAATGTAAGGTTTTTTTTTTTTAACTACTTTCCGACCACCTGCCCACATTGTGCAAGCGAGCAGCGGCTCTGGGCAAAGCAACGTAACCTTACGTCACTTTCTATTTCGGGTCCCCAATCGGTCCATGGAGAGAAGAGAGAATACCTCACTGTGAGTAAAAGCACCACATTTTACACACACATTAGATTAGCACACATAACCATTTGTCGCCCCTATTAACCCTTGGATCACCCCGTTACCCTGCCAGTGCCATTAGTACAGTGTCAGTATATAGAATTTTTCACTGATCACTGCATTACTGCCACTAGTGACATCAGATAATGTCAAGGTCTGTAAGCTCCCCTCCCAGCCAGGGTCAGTTACCATTAGATTTCCCACACACTATCGCACTCACGCTATATGTCGCTCATCACCCCCATTACTAGTATAGTGTTTGTACAGATCAATATATTGATCACGAACAGAACTATCCTAGTGCCTCCTTAGTATAATGTCCCCAAAAATGCAGTGTTAGCAGGATCAGGCCCGTTCGCTGCCAGCACTAGCATTTAGCCCCTCCACTGTTTTTCACAGAAGATTTCTATCAATTGATTGTGGGCCAAAGCAATTCATGCACCCACCCAAATTCAGCTCTTGTCGAACAATTCGCATGGAAACCTATCATGGTTTCTGAAGTAAACCTTTTTTTAAGTAGAAAATATACCTTTTAGTTAAGTACGAAAATTCTATTGAAAAAAGGACATACATTTTGTTTGGTTACAGCGTTGCATGACCACGCAATTACCAGTTGAAATAGCGCAGTGCTGAATAGCAAGAAATGGCCTGGTCAGGAAGAGGCATAAATCTTCTGGAGGGCAAGTGGTTAAAAAAAAAGATCCACGCACACTTCACATGGGTTGCCCACTACTCTGGTAGTACGTTGGGGGGGGCCATGAAAAATAAATGGCAGCCCAGTTCATGTGTTACATGCACTGCTACAGTGCCTTGAAAAAGTATTCATACCCTTTGAAATGTTTCACATTTTGTCATGTTACAACCAAAAACGTAAATGTATTTTATTGGATTTTATGTGATAGACCAACACAAAGTGGCACATAATTGTAAAGTGGAAAGAAAATGATAAATGCTTTTCAAAAATTTTTTTAAATAAATATCTGAAAAGTGTGGCCTGCA